ATATATTTCTTATTAATTTAGTTTATTACTAAGTAGATAAAATAGCTTTACTTAACTTATAAGAAATATATAATTATATTAAAATTCTATAAATTATCTTTATACTTATCTATAAAGAGGTCTATATTAATAGCTCTCTCTTCTTCTTAATTAGTATCTCGTAATATAATATTTAGTAAATAAATCTAAACCTTATAGTAAATATCTCTTATAATAAAATATATTAATATAATAAGATATTTAATTTAGAGGAAACCTTTTATATAGAGGATACTTTAAGTATTATATAGATTAACTAATATTTTAAGTAATATAATAAGGTTTTAATTAGTTTATTTTCTAAAATTATTAAAATTAATAGTAAATTAGGTTTATAAAAAACTTTTTAAATTAAGATTTAAGTTATTATAATACTTTATAGTTTAATAAGATCTAATTTCCCTAGGCTATAAAGTTTTAATAAGGTTATAAGAGTATATAAACTTATTTTAAGTAGTTCTAAAGATAAATTAGGTTTATAAAGAGGTATTTTTAGTAAAGTAAGATAATTAATATACTATTTTTATTCTTTTAAACTACTATAAAAGGTATTTTATATAGGAAATAGCTATATCCTATCCTCTTATTATTTTAAGTTTAGTAATAACTATCTCTCTTATATCTTAAACTTAGATAGTATAGCTATTTCTAGGGGGTCTATTTACTAGTATAAACTTACTATTTAGTACTAATAGAGTTAGCTATTCCTTACTTAGTAAGTTTAAAGGTTTCTTTTTATTATTATATTTTAAGTATTTATTATATAGTTTCTTATATTTTATAATAGTTTTTAAGGTAAGTAGACTAATTAGTTTTTATAATAGCTTTAATTTATATATAAGTTATTAAAGCCTAAATTTTTAGTACTTAAAACTCTATAAGACTTTATTAAATTTAACTATAATATATTAAATTTAGTCTATTAATATATCTTAGATTACTCTATCTAAACTACTAAAGTTACTAAAGTTATTAAAATACCTAAAGTAATTAAGTATAATTACTTTAGAGTACTATATAGAACTAATTTATAAGATATCTAAAATAATAAGTTATTAGAATAAGGCTTATTAAGAGTATAATAAGAAATTAGTAAAGAAGTATTTAATATTTCTAGAAATTATAATAAGTTTATTCTTAACTTTTCTATCTTCTTAGTAATTATTATATATAAATATCTATTTTATTAAAGTATTTAGTAGTATTTTAGTCTATATTTAGTCTATTTTATTAAATAATATTATAAAGTATTTAGTAAAGAGGATAAAGTAGTATTATTATATATTTTTAACTATAAAGTAATTTATTAATAAGAGGTCTCTAAGTAAACTTAAAGCTAGCTTAATTCTCTAATTAATATAATATATAACTATAGTAAAACCTCTTATAATATTATTACTACTTAGTATAGTAATAATAAGAATAATACTTTAGAGATTATAAATACTTATAATACTTTTAAGTATTTTTAAATCTAACTATAGGTATTTTAAGTAAACTATTACTAATCCCTATCTATTAAAGAGGTATTATTATAATTTAATATCTCTTAATTATAGTTATATAGGTATTAGAACTAATTCCTTATTAAAGGGGGAGAGAGTATTATTAGGGTATATAAGTTCTAACTAGGTAGTAGTTCTATTAATATATTTAAGTAGTTTATCTCTCTTATAGTTAATTTAGAAATATAACTAAATTAAGGTCTTAAGGATCTACTTAGATTAAATAAGTTACTTAATTATATAAGTCTTAATAAGACCTTTAGTAAAAGCTTCTTCTTAAATAGATATTATATTAATTAAATTAAGTAATAATAAAGATATAGTAGTTCTTAAGAAAGGTATAGTATATACTTTATAAATATAATTAGTTATAATATAATATATAAGTAATAAAATAAAGAAAAAGAGGGGGAGAGAGTAGTATTAATATAGTATATAGAAGGTATATTAGAAAATAGAGAAAGTAGGGGTAATTAATATAATAGTTACTTAGTAATAGTTTATAGATATAAATAGTAGTTATATAGTTATTTACTTAAAGTTTATAAATGTTAGTAGTCTGGTTAACCTATATAAGTAGGTATCGCAGTTCACTCTATATATTTTTTTCCCTATACTTTAAACCTAATAGTAGCACTTTAACCTATACCTAATCTCAATAAAGTAAACAAACAAATCTCAGTATAACTAGTTATTAACTCTCAGCTTAACTTATCCCCAGCTATACAGAAGAGGGTAGGTGGGTAGGCGGCGGGGCGGTAAAACGTACTAGCGAGAGTGTTATTCGCAATACTATTATTTGCGAGAGCGTTGTTTGTGATATCGTGAAGGCGTCGTCTATAACGCGGAACGCTAATAGTATTTGCAGCAGCTGGAGCCTAGTGATAGCTTGAACTTACACTTAAGGGTACAAACTTAATAGTGTGACTTATAGTTAAAAGGGTTCTTATAGCTATAATATAAGAACTTAACTATTTAAATGAGGCTTTAAGCTTATTCCTCATATCCTCCTCCTATATATGTAGCAACCTTATATAATATCCTTCCCCCTCTTTAAATATATATATAAGCTGAGCAAAGCTAAGCTAGACGACCTAATCTATAAGACTAAAATTAAGGATATTAAGGGCTCTAGCTATAGCCTGCTTACCTATACTGATAAGATAACCCTTCTTAAATTCACTTAGCTATACCTACTTAAAGCTATAACTAATAAAGACGATCTATAGCGGTTATATAGCCTTAAGATTAATATAGATATAGTTGAGGTTACTAATAATAATCCTAATACCTATAAATATCTTATAAGCTTCCTTAAGATAGCTAAGGCAGCTTAAGCGCTTAAATATTAGTAAGTTAGGAAGGGTAAATATATTAAGAGTATAGCTGATGGCGGTAGGGCTCTTCGTTAAGACTGTGTAGTAGGGCGGAAGATGTTGTCTGAACAGCGCGATGGTATGGAGGCCTTGGGGCCCCTGCACCTGGTGGAGCGGCGTAGACGTCTGAATGGCGGAGGAGACTTGGAAGACGGGTGTGGATCGAATATGGCGTGAGAAATGGAGGAGACTGATGGAGATAGAGGCGGCTGGAGGAAGACGGTTGACTTGGCTCGTTGTAATGGTCGAAGTTAGAGGAGCGTGGAGGCGAAGCTTCAGGAAGGTAAGATGTCTAAGTTTATAGTTATGTGACCTGAAGGTTGTTAGCAGAGGGCGAGGGGACTAGTCTAGCTTTCGCAGTTAATACTAGTTAAATTTCACAATATAAGGCTAGCGGCCCTTAAAGT